GAGCAACGACGTCGATATCTTTTCTCTCGAACTCTTGTCGTGATCCAGTTTCGCTAGAAGACCCTCGTTATGCATACATGCCTCGATGCCCCCGAGTTGTTCGACTTCGGCGGCTAGTTCCTTTTCTTTGGGAGACTGGTCTTTGAAAAGATGGATCAGCATGTCCATTTTGATGTCGATTGATGAGACTTGGTCTGCGACGGTGTCGAGTTTGATCTGTATGGAGTGTAGAGTCATAAGACGAGTCGCACGGAGATGCAGATGTAACGTACGGTTACGTGAATCTCAAGAGCGAACTTGATCTCTTCCTTTCGCTTGTCGAAGGCGTTGGCGAACCCCATGAACTTGTTCTTCAGGTACGGAGACAGCAAGTATTCAATATTCGAAGTATAATTTCACGTGTTGAAATACGCACCTCCCAACTCGCCGCCCGGAAAAACTTTGCTAAGAACTTTTGTTTGTAATAGGTATCAATGACGTTCCCGCATTTATTGATATCTCTCTTGATTTCGGCAATAAGTGCTGGACGAAGTCGTCAGGACGCAATGGAAAGGAAAGATAGGAGGTTATACAGACTTTGCAGCCGACCAGCAACCGACTCTCCTTTCTCGTTCTTCATATCCACGTCCTTGACATTTTCCAGTCTGAGATGTTGCGGAGAAGCCAGTGAATGGACGAGGGTTGTCAGGTCGCATTCAGGTCGAATAGAGCGACTACTGACTGGAGTAATGCCATCATCATGTCGCCTTGCTTGAGTAATATCCCACTGACGCGTTTGTCGTTTTCGCGCCTCTTCATTTCCAATGTCAGGAGAACCTCGAAAGCCGTTACGGCGACTGGGGAAGGAGGGACGTCGTCAGATTCGTTTCGGCAAGACCGTGGAGATGTCGATAATCAACTCACTTCCTACGAATGGGTGGACCCCCTTAACCGCGTTCAAGGCATCCATGACGCGTTTAAGCGGTATCTAAAGCAGATTACTCAACGCTTGATATTTCACAAAATCCGTAACGTACGAGGCATTCTCGCGGAGTCATTGCCATAACATCCTCCATAGTCACTCCTGCCATCGCCTTCTGCGCGGTGGAGATAGCCAAGGAAACGTGTCCATCAGCTGTAGCGATTTTATCGTCTGTGAACAACGACGTCGTAATCATAACCATCCACAAGCTTTGAAGCCAATAATAGGTGCTCACGAATCTTGTCGACGGCCTTGGAGAAATAGTCAACGCTTCTTCCTGCGTCTCCTGGCTTGAGCGACGCGTCCTTGGACATGGTGGGGTTCAGGATGGAGTGTTTGAGCGAGATGACGAAATGGTCTTTTGAATGAACATAGCACCAACTATCGATGTCACTTTCCCTCGTGTATGTTCGGGAGCCGAACTCATTTTGCCAAATTGTTGAATGTTAACCAGGTTTTCCGAACAAGGCGGAAATATGTAGTTTTCCGAGCCAATACGTTGCACGTATGAAGTCTGGTGGCTTGGTGCAAACGTCAAAAGTGGAGCAGGGTGCAAATTACGTAATCTCTGTGAACTGACCGTAGCTCCCTTCTTTCGCCTATGTTTTCATTCGAAGGTGTGTAACAGATGATGATGGATGATGACCTATGAGTACCTCGGTAGATCCAGCGTTAGATTGTATAGACCAAATGTATTAAGACGAGAAATGAAGTGATTTCAATTCTGGCGTTGGTTGCGTCATTGGATTGGGTCTTCAAGTTGAAATGACGACGACTCATTGTAGCCAGACCACGGCGTCGTCGAATGGAAGGCGGGGTCGATCGGAAGCGACCGGTGTTGATGTTCTGGATTGTCGAGGGATATTGTTTGTTTCGCGCTTGGAAAACACGAGGAAGCGCGCCATGTTGTTAACGCCAAATTATTGTGTCAGAGCGTAAAGTCAATACACGGGATAGAAAACCAGACAACGTATCTAACCCATTTCCTGACGCTGTACCATCTTCGCCTCCTTCATAGCCCGATATCGCTCGATCGCCTTCTCTCGCTCGACTTCCATCATAGCCTTCTGTGCCATCGATATAACATCGCTCTTACTTCGTTCTCCATCTTTCTTAGCATTTTGAGATGCCTGCTTCGCACCTCGCGGGAGGGATTTGAAAGTCGGTGGAGCCTGAGCGATGTCGTTAAGGCGCTTCGGTGCCGACGACAATAGTTTGTCGAAATCGGTCTTGGAGGTCCGCGCGGGTTTTGATTCCGCATAAACAGGTGCATTGATGTCCGGGTCGGTGATGGATTTGCGTTTGGATTCGGTTATGTTTGTAACGGATGTTTTTGCTAGTAAGGGGGTTGACTTGGCGCCTCGTATTGCGGAACGGACGACAGGTCGCATGTCATCTTCCACCCGTCTGTGTCGGATGTTATGTTATAATGGTGAAACTCAGCATTGAGAATATCACGCACTTGTTAAAATGACCTAATGACTCTCCAGGAAGAATTTTGAGAACCGTGTTCGCTGATGACCGCTGCGACTGGTCCTGATGTTTCGCATCCACCCTTCTCTTCCTCTTCCTACGTGCTCCACCATCTTCGCCAGCTTCATTGCCAGGTTGTGCTTTCCTCTTCTTCTCGCGGAAAGCTGCTTGCAGAGCTTCTGCGTTCAGGACCCGTGCAGCAGATTTTGGAACAGTGTGATCCGTGAAAGTTGATGCTGCTGGCGGCAGGTCGGTTTTTCTAACGTGTTTAAATCAGAGTGAGAATAGTGTATGAAATTTGAAGTCTTTACCGTTGTGATCGCTGGAGCTCGCGCACCGAACGCTTCGCTCGTTTGTGAGGCATGAAATATCTGGAAAAGGGGCGCCGGTCACGTGTCAACATGTCCGATTCCGGAATTTGCCACCATCGTCACGGTTGTCAGAGTGCTATCTCTTTGAATGATCTCCTTGCTATCTCCAAAGCCAAGCCCACGATGCGAAACTAATGAATGAAATAATCTACGGCTATCTTTAGTTTCATTGAACGGACGGTTCACCAAGCCTTGACCACAGAGCGGACTTTGAAGTCGAGGCTTGTGATCACAAGCTCCTCATGTAAATCCGCTCTGGGCAAATGATCGCCCTCCCTCGACTGTGTTTTCTGCTGCTAGAAGCCCCTGATAATATGGAATGACGAGATAGTGCTCCTGACTTGGCATCATTCTCGCCAAACGGTCCAGAAATTGTACCTGGATGGACTCATTCGCGAGCGGTGGTTCTCCGCAAGTCTCGGACCTCCATAATTTATAAAGTGGGCTGTTGGGCTGAATTTTTGGTCGACCGCTCCGCGTCTCTCCATCATTCCTGGACATGAAGATTGCTACCACCGTCGCTGCGTTCTTGTGCTTTGTTCAATCATCACTGGCTGCACCAGCGGCTGAACCTGGAGCGCACATCGAACGTCGGGCTCTCGCAACCGTCTACTCTTCTTGCAAGCATGTAAGCATCTAACATTCACCAATGGACTTCTCCTAGCTCACACCTGTATAGGCGAACACGGTAAGTTAATATGTACATCTTTCATGGAACAACATCTATCAACGTCCGAATCGTATTAGGTTGCGCTGACATTTGACGACGGTCCTTATATCTACGAAACCGGTGAATGAATATGTTCTAGAATTTCATCACAATTTGACCTGTATCTTTAGATATCGTCAGCCTCCTGAACTCAAACGGCATCAAAGGCACATTCTTCGTGTGCGTGTTTTCTCGAATGCCAAAATACGTTCTCTGTTCCCTAATAACCTTTGTCTAAAGTAACGGAAACAATTGTGAGCATTGCTGCTTGTCTATACGTCCCATTTGTGGAAGCAGATGGTGTACTTAGATGACTGCATTTACGATCAACGACAAGTGACGTCACTCAAGAATGCCTTCAACTGTGAGTTCGTTTGTCTTCTCAATTCGACATCTCTAATTCAAGTACCAACAGCGGGTCATATGATCGGGAGTCATACCTGGGCGCACTTGGATTTGTCAGCTCAGAGTTGGGATAAAAGTGCGTTTGTCATTCCAACTTCGCGTGTTGTCAAACCGACATCCAAATCATCGTAGTCCACGACGAGATGTGGCGCGTCGAACAGGCGATGCAGAAGATCCTCGGTGTAACCCCGAATTTCATGCGGCCAGTACGTTTCTTTCTCCTTTCCGATTCGTGGATTCTCGTTTATGTGTACTCAAACCAGCCATATGGTAACTACAACGACCTCGTCCGCTCAGCTTCATCTATCAGGAATCAGAGCCTTGTAATCTGGGACTTCGAGTGCGTCTGAGTTGCATCGCTTCCCTCACTTCACACTTCTTTCGGATCTAACTCTACGAAAATCAGCTCCGGCGATTCACTGGGCCACACCGCCACGCAGTCGAAGAACGATTATCAAGCTCTCATCAACAAGCACCCTAACAACATTCTCCCGCTGAACCACGAGACGGTGCAGACTACTTCGTGGGTCCCCAGTTTCTTTATTTCCTTTTGGCTTTCCTGAATGCTGGCGATTATCAACAGGACGTCGGTTCTGCCATTCATTATCCCGAAATTGAAGGCGGCTGGGTATAAGTTCGATACTGTTGCGGGATGTCTTGGTCTCAGCCCGTATCATTGTACGTATGATTCCGCGAAACAGGTGTCGTAGTGCTAATATTTCATCATACAGCGGTCGGCCAGGCAGGAACCCGTGATGTGTGTTTTGTCCTATTTTAACATGTAGCATTCAATTGACATCCAATTGCAGAGTACTTGGCATTGCTAACTGCGTGAACGGCGCATGGACGGTTAATCTGTTACCTCGGACATCTATAATATCTGGACATTCATGATGCACACAACCTATTGGACACTTCGAACTAACGTACCTGAGAACGACCTTGTCCGAAATATATCTTTACGTTCTCTTCGATTGTACCACGAGTTATTCAGGAATCCAATCGTGATTGGCCTGCGTTGTTCGAAAGCAAGATCGATCAGTCCACCTTGAAAGCGGCAAAAAATTCAGACGCGGTATTATTCCCCGACCGGGAGTCGAACCCGGGCCGGCTCGGTGAAAGCGAGCTATCCTAGCCGTTGGACCATCGAGGAAGACTTGAAATATACATTGAGGATCTTTTTGACACTTTCAACTTCTGCTTTACGTCATAAGTTCGCTTTCTATCCGAATGTTGACATGGTCTAACAATGTCTACTTAGACGAGTTGCAAGGCTGTCTCTGCATCTACAAGAACAACATCCGGATTCAACTCTAGGCCAAAACCTGGCTTGTCCAACACGTCTACTTGAATTGCACCGTTTTGAGGTAATGGTTCGTTCACGAAAAGTTTTCCGAACGTTGGCTGGACTGACTTGCCATCTGGCGCGTTACAGAGAACCTATTCCACCAAAGTACGTCAGTCAGTCAGCACTCTTCCACCGCGATGGAAACGCGTACTTCTGCAAACGGTGTGTTGGTCTGGCTCAACGCGAAATGATAACTGTAGTTCCCGGATGCGTGAGGTACGACGGGAATGTCGTACGCGGAAGCGTGAGAGCTGATCTTGAGCAATTCTGTCAGACCTCCGACCCAAGTGACGTCCGGCTGGAGAATATCAATCGAACGAGTTTCGATGAGCTTGCGGAAACCATATCTGGTGTACTCATGCTGCGAAGGTGGGTCATTTCTCGTTTCTTCGACGACGCAGCTGCTCTAATGCGCTTCTTACCTCCCCCGTTGTCCATTTTACCTGTGGTAGAGCAGATTTGAGGCGCTTGAAGCCATCTTCGTCGTCCGGATGTAACACCTCTTCCCACCATTGGATGTTCAAAGTCAGGCATTTCGTTGCCAACTCTATCGCATATTGCACGTTCAGGCTCATATAGCAATCCACCTGAGTGAGATCTCTATCGTAAGATTTGATGCCGTTGGCTGCGAATACTCACCATCAGGGGAAAGTCAGGTCCTATCGATTCCCGATGCTTTTGGAGGAAGTCAAAATTCTTCTGCAAGCTATCCACCTCCTCAGGACCGTATGGTAGGGGCACCTTCCCACCGAGGAATCCCTGGCTCTTCGCTTCTGTGGGCACAGGTCCGGTTAAGTACAACTTGAGCTCGTCTTTCGTGCGTCCTCCGATCATTTTGTATACCGGCTCGCCTCTGATCTTCCCCAGAAGGTCCCAAATGGCAAGATCAACGCAACTGATGACAGCAATCGCGAAACCCTTCCTGCCATAGAACAAAGACGCGCGATACATCTGGTCCCACAGCAAGTTCGTATCCCTAGGGTCAGCGCCGATTATGAAGCGCTTGAAATGAGAGTGGACGATCCAGCAGGCGGGTGGACCACCAAGACCAGTGGCAAATCCGATGGTGCCGTCGGATGCGTGCAGTTCGACGCAAAATGTTCCTAAGACATTGATACCCCAGTCGACTCTGGATTTCTTAAATTTGTTGTATCTCGACCTTAATGTTGCAGCCAGTCAGTCGAACATGCGTTGGACCAAAGACATATAGATCGAACTGACATTGGGTTGGCGATTGGCGTGTCTATTATCCAGTGTCCGCGCGCCTGCGCATGATAATCGCCTCCATCGCCTTCCTACATTATGACATCAGAGGGCAAACGTAGACTTCAAGAACAATCGGAGTACCCCGCCAACAAGGTAAGTTTTGACTTTTGCAATGGTTGGAAACAATTTGAGACTCATTTTCTACGAAGGTGGAAGCAACGCCGTGGGTGATAAAGACTTTTGCCAGCTCGAAGAAGCGTCGACATATTTATGAGAGATATTCCTACGGTGACATCGTGTCGCAGTCAGATGACCAAAAGAAGAAATCTGCTCCTTCGGAAGTGGCGGCGGTCCGGACTCCGGTCACACATACGACGCTTCTCCACTCCAGTGGATTCCACTTTGCCAATGGCTGGCGCTCAACATGGGAGGATTTGACATAAATAAGAGAAGAGGAAGAAAGAGTGGGGTCGCTTTCTTCCCCATCCCTCATCCTGAGGAGTAAGCGCTCGAATGGCTTTAAGTGGAAAGGCACTCGTTTGGGCTATAACAGGTATGACGTACTTAAGATTTTTTCGCCCGCGATTTTGAGAGCTTACCTGTGTTGTAAACACAGCATGTTGCTGTCAAGGCTTTCTGCTGTTAGGGTACGACCAAGGCGTGATGTCCGGAATTGTCAGGATACATTAGATTCGTGGATTCGACGAGCGACTGACTGTAATGACGACAGATCGGAGCCGACAACCAGTTCGGAAAAGATTTTAACCACCCGAATCCAACGGCACAGGGAACCATCGTGCGTGTTTGTTGCTCAGTGATTCATGCCTCTATTAACTCTATCGATGCCAGGTTGCAATATATGTGGGGGGTATTTTGCTATCATTTTCACACTGAACCTATCATTTGTGTTCGTAGGACATTGGGTGCGCTATTGGCAGTTTGATTGTATTTTTCTTTGGAGAGCAGATTGGCCGCAAACGCATGATAATGTTGGGAGCAACCGTGATGTTGATCGGAACGGTGAGCACCGTTTACTCCAAATCAGCTCGTATTGACGTACCCAGGCTATCTTGACAAGCTCAACCACGAGAACTCAACTCTACTTCGGACGCGTTATCACTGGAATCGTAAGAACCACAGATGCCTTGTCGCATTGTAAAAAATTCTGACACGATGCTCACCGCAGGGGAATGGCTTCAACTCGTCTTCAATACCAGTCTATCAATCTGAAACATGTGATGGCCTCATTCGAGGTACTCTCGTATGCCTAAACTCGACTGTGACTATTATTGGGCTTGTTATAGTGGGTACATGTTGTCATCATGATTCTATCATCCTCAACGTTATTTAGGCTTACTGGTTGGACTATGGCATGTCTTATGTTAGTGGACCCGCACAATGGCGATTTCCGATCGGTAATTTCCTATCGTATATTGGTCAAAATCAACAAATCAAAACGAGATATTGCAGGATTCCAAGCATTCTTCGCCTTTTGTTTGCTCTTCCAAGCCATGGCTCTTCCAGATTCACCCAGGTGGCTCTTGGCTCACGGTAGAGAGAGTGAAGCAACGGAAGTGCTGGCCCGATTGACTGGCAAGGATGTCTCGGTGGACCACCCGGACGTGCTGGAAAAGAAGAAGGAGATTGAAGAGTCACTTGCGCAAGAGAGCGCTGGAGGTCAGCGATTTTGAATAATCAATTCTCGTATCTGCCTTACCTTCGCGTAGGTCCATTTCGATACTCAGAGTTACTCCAAGGCGGAAATTTGGGAAACTTTAGAAGAATATGCTTGTGTATTGGGGTTAATGTTATGCAGCAATTTACCGGGTGAGTTTGGGGTTCAAGGTTTTGTGGACAGAGCCTTCTAACTAGATCAAAATAGTGCAAATATGATCAAGTGCGATTTTTTTTTTCAAATTATGCCACAAATTCTCGTCTCATAAAGGGTCCTAGCTACCTCGCGCCTATCGTTTACCAAAACACGATGCATTTATCTCGCAAGCTGTCGCTCATCCTTGGAGGTTGCACAGCGATCACGTACATGTTCGCTTCCTTCATTCCTCTTTGGGTGAGTCCCAGATCCCAGATGCGATGAGGGTATGACATAGGTTAATGGTGATTGCAGACAGTGGATCGTTTCGGTCGACGTCCGCTCTTAATGACATCAGCTGCAGGGCTCTCCATGTGTTTCGCACTCGCGGCAATCCTCCTCTCGACAGGGACGAAATCAGCGGCATTTGGTGCGACGGCCATGGTTTTCATATTCCAAATCTTCCTTGGGATAGGCTATCTTCCGATCGTCAGCATGTTTCATCTCTCCTAACTCACCCGTACTGACAATTTCAACAGCCTTGGCTCTATCCAGCTGAAGTTTCCACAACGCGCATTCGCGCTCGCGGTTCGGCCATATCATCCTTCTTCAATTGGATGTGTGTATTCGCAGTCGTGGAGATGACCCCGCCTGCTATCGCAAACATCAACTGGCGCGTATTCATCATCTTCGCCATATTTAACGCACTCTGGGTCCCAATTGTCTACGTCTTCTTCCCCGAAACGAAGGGCCTTGAACTTGAAGATATTGACCATCTCTTCGAGAAGGGTGGTATTACAGGGGGTGTGTGGGGCAGTCCTGGAGGTCGAACTGTCGAAAGGCGAAGACGCCGCGACGACATCGAGCATATGGATGAGAAGGAAAAAAGCTCAATGTAGCGCAACAATGTAACGCAATACTGTACAAATTTATGTCCTGTTTAGTCACGCTGATTCGGCCTGCCTTCTTTAACCTGAGCAAATTCCTAAATCATCGCCGGGCTATTGCGAATCGCCACCATGCACTTGAAGGAGCAATCGATCAAGTGCTTACGGTAGGTCCTAATCTAACTACCGATGTCCACGCACTAACGCGATTTTTCATTTCCTATCGTCCAGGTGATGTGCCCAATGGAATTACGCTCTGATCTCTCCACATGCTCATCGATGTTTGGGACTCTTGGATCTGGTGATATCCATCCCTCCAACGATTTTTCATCTGGCTGGACAGTATTGTACAAACTCATTTCCGCTTTAAGTATATGGTATGATCCTTGGGATCGGCGCTGATCTGATCTATTCTTGGCATTCCGGTCTCTGCTTTTTCAGGCTATCGTCGTTCGTCGAAGCCACTGTCGTATTCGCCTCAATCATGACGACGAAAAAATATGCCTTTTCTGAGGCAGTAGCGTTCGGTATATTCTGACCAGAATAACGAAGAAACCCTGACCGCAGCGTCCGCACTGTCCTCAGCTCAATTTTATGGCTTCTTTCCGATTCTCGTCGCCGTACAGCAACCGAGGTTTCCATTTGCAAGACCCATCAGTAAATTTCTACGAATAGTCCACTGTTGCCAGCATAGAAAATTGTGCGTTCAGAAGAAGCGCGGTTGTCTATTCCCATCCTGTGTATTGGACATGATATTCACGACCGTCTTCGATAAGGCGATTGTTGTTCTTCGGCTGCCAATATGTTTGAGGTCTCCTGCGTCATTGATTGATTGAGTGGCAACCACTCCGTCCACCTCAACCGTAGTTGACAGTAATGGTGGCTCGCCGTCAAATGTTACT